AGTGACATTTTTTAAATGGACACCCCTAAATGGCAAATGTGCACACAAAAAGTGATATTTTTGTAATTGCCCCAAAAAAAAGCATAAAACATAGAAATACCAAATCCCAAATTACACCTTGAATTGAAATTAAATAATCACCTAAGAAAAACATAGTAAACGAATGAAAATTCATATGTTCTAGAAAACCATAATTCACATCAAACTTAGAATTCATATATTCCAGAAAACCACAATGCACATCAAATTCATATGTTTTGATATTAATTTTTTATTGTTATTAACATTTACTAAACTAAAAATGATGGTATTTTTTATTATTAAGAATAATTTATAAATCTGGTTTATTTATGGTATTTTGGTAATATCTATTATGAAAAGGTTAGTTTTCAAATTTTTCAAAACATGGGTCACTTCTCAAAATACATTAAATTTTAAGAATATTTTTACAAATTTCCTCAATACAATATAACTCAATAAACTGTTATTGACAAAAAAAAATGATTTAAACTAATAAAATAAAGTATATGGAAAACTAAATTTAAAGATGTAATTAATTAAGGGTGGAAACAAATAAAGAAAATTAATATTAATAAGGAAAATATTTGACAGAGTGGGGGTCAAAAAGAGATCTAATTTTGATTATGTGGGGTCAAATGGTGTTTTTACCATTTTTCTAACAAAACTTACATAAATTTAATATGAAAATAGTTTATTTCAAAAAAATTACGGTGTCACTTGACACCCCCATTATCGTTAGTAGGTTCGCCTCTGAATGGTGTTATACATTCGTGTTTTAATTTAAACAATTTTATGAAAAATCAGATTTGGGCTGCAAATCTTTAATTGGACAAACTAAACGTGCTGAATACGGTTTGTAAAAGATAAGTCATATGAAACAAACGCAGTGACAAAAAATCTGTTGTTATATTTCTTTTGTTTGTTATTAAGTGATGTTTTAGGAGTTTTTTTGTTTTAAATTAATGAATGTTTTCATTTTTGAATGCAAAATTATTGAGAAATTTTTAAAAATACCATTTTTCAAGTGCCACTTTACAAAAATGCAACACTTTTGAAATCTTTACAAAAATGCCACTTTTTCAAAATTATTTTTTTTTATATTATTTATGTTTGGGTTAATTATGTTCTATTAGGGTTTAGTTTTGAGTGTTTAGAGTGTTTAGGTGTCAAAACATTTTTTAGGGTTTGAAATTTTAAGATATAAGCTTTATAAATCTATAATTAGTGGCATTTTTGTAAATGGACACCCCTAAATGCTATTCTTGCAAATGTGCACACAAAGAGTCGTATTTTTGTAATTGCCCCAAAATTATTTGATTTTTCTTATTTTTAACTGTTCGAATTATGCAAAATGTTTTTCTATTGATTAAATTATGTTTAAATAGATAATAATTTGACGTTTTAAATCAGAAAACAATACATTTTTTTCATATGTGTGAAAATCTTAAACATCACTTATATACAAACAAAGGAGTTATTAACATCACTTATCATTTGTCACCATCCATTTTTCTGTTATTGCGTTTGTTCCGTATATTATTTTTTGATTAATCGTATCTAGTATGCTAGCTTAATCTGTTCAAGTTCAATTTTTTTTATAAAACCGTTTAAATATAAAGACAGACGTAGACACGATTTATAATGGTTTATCTTCAATATGAGAGGTAAGTCCATTTTTCCGCTCCAAAA